AATCTCAGCTCACCACAACCTCCGCCTCCTGGTTTCAAGCGATTCTCCCACCTCAGCCTCCTGAGTAGCTGGGATTACAGGCATGCACCACCAACGCCCAGCTAACTTTTGTATTTTTTAGTAGAGAGAGGGTTTCACCATGTTGGCCAGGCTGGTCTCGAACTCCTGACCTCAAGTGATCGGACTGCCACAGCCTCTCAAAATGCTGGAATTACAGGTGTGAGCCACCATACCCAGCCAGGTTTAAAAATATTTTAAATTGGGCCGGGCGCAGTGGCTCAAGCCTGTAATCCCAGCACTCTGGGAGGCCGAGGCGGGTGGATCACGAGGTCGAGAGATCGAGACCATCCTGGTCAACATGGTGAAACCCCGTCTCTACTAAAAATACAAAAAAATTAGCTGGGCATGGTGGCGTGTGCCTGTAATCCCAGCTACTCAGGAGGCTGAGGCAGGAGAATTGCTTGAACCCAGGAGGCGGAGGTTGCGGTGAGCCGAGATCGCGCCATTGCACTCCAGCCTGGGTAACAAGAGCGGAACTCCGTCTAAAAAAAAAAAAAAAAAAAAAAAAAAAAAAAATTTAAATTGGGCCAGGCATGGTGGCTTGTGCCTGTTATCCCAGCACTTTGGGAGGCCGAGGTGGGCAGACCATGAGGTTAAGAGATCGAGACTATCCTGGCCAACATGGTGAAACCCCATCTCTACTAAAAAAATACAAAAATAAGGCTGGGTGCAGTGGCTCACTCCTGCAATCCCAGCATTTTGGGAGGCTGAGGAGGGTGGATCACGAGGTCAGAAGTTCAAGACCAGACTGGCCAACATGGTGAAACCCCATCTCTACTAAAAAATACAAAAATTAGCTGGACATGGTGGCTCGTGCCTGTAATAGCAGCTACTTGGGAGGCTGAGATAGGAGAATTGTTAGAACCAGGACCCGGGAGGTGTCACTGCACTCCAGCCTAGGCTACAGAGTGAGAATCCATCTCAAAAACAAAAACAAAAACAAACAAACAAACAAAACCCCAAAATTAGCTGGGCGTGTTGGCGCGTGCCTGTAGTCCCAGCTACTCCGGAGCCTGAGGCAGAATCGCTTGAACCAGGGAGGCGGAGGTTGCAGCGAGCCGAGATCGCGCCACTGCACTCCAGCCTGGCGACAGAATGAGATGCTGTCTCAAAAAAAAAAAAAAAAAAAAAAAAAAAAATTTAAGTTAAAAAACTGGGTGGGGCCGGGCGCGGTGGCTCAAGTCTGTAATTCCAGCACTTTGGGAGGCCGAGGCGGGTGGATCACGAGGTCAAGAGATCGAGACCATCCTGGTCAACATAGTGAAACCCCGTCTCTACTAAAAATACACACACACACACACACACACACACACACACACACACACAAAAGTTAGCTGGGCATGGTGGCGTGTGCCTGTAATCCCAGCTACTCAGGAGGCTGAGGCAGGAGAATTACCTGAACCCAGGAGGCAGAGGTTGCGGTGAGCCGAGATCGCGCCATTGCACTCCAGCCTGGGTAACAAGAGTGAAACTCCAACTCAAAAAAAAAAAAAAAAAAAAAAAACTGGGTGGGTAAATGGGATATTGTAGCCTAGTGTGATACAATAAAAATAGTATGTGTCAGGGACCAGTAAGTGAGTAAGAGAAGGAAACAGGGTGGTGCAGGGCATGCATAGCTAAGAATTGCATAAATTATCAGTAAATATCTAGAAATGCTACACACTGCTACAGAGAATATATCCCACCTGCAGTCCCAATAAGGGCTTACACTGAAGGCTCTTAGTTCCCACAGGCTCTTGCCACTGGGAAGGGGCGAGGCACTGGGCAAGGCAGGGGCTACAGAGGGATGGGATGCTTAGAACCAGGGCAGCCACTCCAGGTAGCAAAATTGCAAAAACCAGGGCAGGGAATCATTGTCTCACAGAGCAGGCAGATGTCTCAGGTACTTTTGCTTCCTGTAAGGCACATGGCATACTCTGAGGCCCCTGGTAATACTTCTGTCTATGATGATGCTGACTAACGACCCAGATCCCAAGCACCCAAGTAATTCAATTGTCACTGCAGGGAAGTGGAGGTCTTCAATTAAACATGACAACTGAAACTGGGGCTACTAGAATGAATTGTTATTGGCTCATTTATGATTTTCTGAACACGACAAAGGGGGATTTTAAAAGGATGCTACCTCAGTGTCCACAGCACAGAACAACACCATGCTTTTTAGAACCAGGGAGTCATTTCACAAGGATAATGTACAATGAAATCACTCTTATCCTACTGACATTTTGGCTTTCCCTATACATTTTAAACATTAGTTTTTGTTTTTCCTGGAGTCAAACTTTGATGGAGTGTCAGTCCCTCGCCTCCCCTCCATCTCCTTCCTTCACTCTCTCCTTCCTCTTCTTTTTCCCTCTCCTCCTCTCTTTACTTCACACTTGCCCTCCTTCCTTCTTCTCCCTCCTCTCACTCTTTCTCGCTTCCCTTCTCTCTTTTCCTCCCCCTTAAATATTAATTAGCCCATCCTAGTTTATCTTGAGTCAAGCATTTCTGGCTGAAATTTTGCCCAAGGATCCATGCCAGGAACAGGAGCTTATGCAAGGTTGATTGGGACACGACTTTTGATTGCTGACTCACAAAATGAATTTAAACCACTATAACTGCAGAACTACATGTAAAAGATTTGGATCTTATAATAACATAGGTGAAAACATGAAATGATAAGAAAAGGGAAGGTGAGAAAGCTGCCCCACAGATGCCTTGACCCCAGATCATCTCTGGCCACCAGTCTTAGAAATGTGCTGCTCCCCAAGACCGCTTTCTTCCTAACTCCAAGGATTCTGGAATCATTTATCAGGAGGACACCCAGTCACTTGGCAGCACGCTCAATTTCGGTGTTTACCATCTAAAACAGATGGGATGGGGAAACCCACAGTTTGGCTTATGCTGTTAAAACAAAAACCTTAGGGCCAGTTTTGTAGAGGGCCACCAACTGGCCCAGAGGCCTGTTTATGTTTTCCCTCTGGAGATTGGGAGAAATAGTAAAAATATGCATACTTTTTTTTTTTTTTCCTAGAGACTTCCATTGAGAATTTTATTTTATTTCTACCACTCTTGAGATAAACAGGTGTCTGGAAGTGAGCACACTTGCTCATTAGCATCACCAACTCATATGGGAAAGAAACCAAAGCAGTATCATTGAGAGCCATGGATTTTAACTAGTTCTGTCACATCCTGGCTGTATAACTGTGAACCTGCCTCAGTTTTCTCATCTGTGAAATGGAGATACCACCTACATCACAAAGCTGCTGTAAGACTAACGGAAGCAGCCCTTGTGAAATGTCTGGGACATCTTAGGTACTCATCATACCTTGGGGCTCTCCCAGCCTCCACAGAAACATTGCTGCCCTTAACTAAGAAAATTTAATTGTTATTTTTCCCATCTTTACATTTGATATGCAAAGAGCAATGAACTATTTCTCTAAAATAGTTAGATAAATAACAATAAACTTTATCTAAAAGCTTATATGTCCTAAGTCCATAAGACTTCTCTGGGGAAAGTTGTTCTTTGAATTAGTAGATACATTTTCTTCCTTCTTTCTTACCCCCTTCCCTTTTCCCTTCCCCTTCCTCTCTCTTTCCCTTTCTTAATGGACCAGACAGGACTCACCAATTTCACAAAGCAAATTGGAGTTGTAAATTAATAACTACATTAAGCGAATGTTTTATGAAACACTATTTCCTCAGCATCGGGCTAAGCATTTCATTTGCATTCATATCTCATTTAATCCTAGCAATCTCATAAGTTGGACTGCACAGTTATCTCCATTTTACAGATGGGAGAACTTAGACTAAGGGAATTCAAATAACCTGGGTGACACATACAGTAAAGGGCAGAACTCAATCACAAGACAGAGCACAAAGGGAGTCAGAGCTTAACACCAGACATGCCATCTTCTATTTTCAACAAAGGGTTTTCCTAAAACTACTAATATTCAAATGATGGAATTTCTCAAATCTCCCCACGATCTAAATTCCCACAATTATATTATAATTTCGAAAGCCACCTCCTCTCATGGCCTTATTTCAGAGAAGTATCTAAAACTCTATCGCCTTATTCCAAAAGGAAAGGGGAGAATTAACTGCTTCCCTGAACTTCTCTGCCAATCTTCCTTTAGTTATTTCTGTTTTCCTGCCTCCCACTGGTCGTAACAGCTATTTTATAATCATTCCATAATTGTGAGCAGTAGTCCCAAAGGCCCCGTTCTAAGAAACCACAGAATACGGCGGGTGAATACTAGCGAGATGGAAAAAGCACAGCAAACTTCCTACTCTGTTGACAAAAATACCTCAGAAATAGATCATCGAACAAGCTAAGTCCACTGACGACCCTCCTGAAGCTGCAGTGGTGGAAGGCTGTCGTGGTCCCAGAGTGGGGCCGCCAGTCCACGCGCACCTGCCCGCCTGCGCGTTCCTCCGCGGGGCAGCGGTTCAAGCCGGGAAGCCGCGAGTGTTTTCAGCTCAGAGGGGAGCGGTTCGCATGACCCGGGTTCCGTCCACAGCTGCTGACAATTGTTTTACAAGAAAGAAAGAAGAGACACAGAAGTCTCCGCGAGGGTGTAAGCCTTGCCGACGCCGAGGCGGGCGCCCGCGGTGGGCGGAGGCGGCTGCTCCCATCCAGGGTGCAGGGTCCGTCGCCGGCTCCCTTTTGCCAATGCACGCGGCTCGGGACCCAGACAGACACCGCGTCCTGAGCGCCGGCGGCGACCCTGGGTCCCCTCCCCACGCCCCGCGCCTCCGGAGGACGCGCCGGGCGCCGTGCTGCACCTGTGCCCCCCGGGGCGGCCTTGTTCCAGCGCCCCTCGGAGGCGACGCCAGGCATGAGGGAACGGGGCGGGCGCTTCCCTCGGGGTGCAGGGGGCAGACCTGGGGTCGCGGGGGCGCTCCCAGCGCGTCAGGCGCCCCGCGCCCACCCGGGGCGGCCGTCTCGCCACCCGCAGCCTCACCTCCCGCCGCAGCCTCCTCTTCCGCCGCCATCGCAGGAGCCACCCGGCCGGCTCCTCAGCCCCGCGGCTGGCAGCATGGAGGAGCCCCGGGCCCGCCCTGCCCCGGCCCAGGCGGCAGCTCCGGAGCGGGGAAGCGGGGACTGGCGGGCGCAGCCCGGCCGGCAGCGGCTACTGAGCATGCGGACTGGGGCCAGCCGCCCGCCGCTCTGGGCGCCCCGGGGCTCCCCGGCGGGAACGGGACCCGGGCGATGGGCGGAGTCGCCGCGGACACCGCCCCGCCGAGCCCTCCCGCGAGCCACAAGGCGCTAAAATGGCCAGTCGGGTCTTTCTACCAACCCGCCCATTCAAAACAGGCTTCCATGCTCATAGCAGGCTTTGCCCCGGCGTTCCGAAGACTGCAGCTGTAGACCCTCGGGGCCGAGGTGAAGGGTGAATGAAGATCCTTGCACGGCGGGTTAGCGGAGGGCACGGGGCTGGGGTTGGGGAGGGGGTGCTGGACGAGAGACCCTGCTCTTTTCGGCCTAAGGAAGGGCTTAGCTGCAGCGACGAGGGTGTAGAGGATGGAGAGAGGGTCCCCAAGGAAGCCGTTTTGCTGCCTGGAATGGTTGGGTAAATCCGGAAACAAGATCTTTTGGGGATCACTTGACAGCCCTACATCCTTATAGCTAGTGTCTAGAATACACTGGTCCTGTTCAGCGCGCTCTGAATGAAGAGAACCCCTAAACATGGCTGTTTACTCACCCAGGTGCAGGTGGGCTGAGTTGAAAAGAGAGTCTGTGCAGGGTGGTGGGATCGGAGTTGGTTTCATAGGTTTAGGGTAGGCAGTGGAAAGTTATAGAAGTTACAGTTTAGGGTGGTTTTGCAAGCTGGGAGGGGGTTGTTGAGTCTGGAGTCACCAGGTTGACTAAGGTCGGCTACAAAGTCCAATTGCCGGCCGGGCGCGGTGGCTCAAGCCTGTAATCCCAGCACTTTGGGAGGCCGAGGCGGGTGGATCACGAGGTCAGGAGATCGAGACCATCCTGGTCAATATGGTGAAACCCCGTCTCTACTAAAAATACAAAAAATTAGCTGGGCATGGTGGCACATGCCTGTAATCCAAGCTACTCAGGAGTCTGAGGCAGGAGAATTGCCTGAACCCAGGAGGCGGAGGTTGCGGTGAGCCGAGATCGCGCCATTGCACTCCAGCCTGGGTAACAAGAGCGAAACTCCGTCTCAAAAAAAAAAAAAAAAAAAAAAAAAAAAAAAAAAGTCCAATTGCCTTATCAATTGAGGCCAGGAATAAGGAACAACAGAAGAAAGTCTCAAGTTAATTAGGCGCTGCAGGGGTGGATCATTCTTTCCCTTTTCGTGGTCTTCCAGTTACTAAACATTTTCTTTTTTCTATTTTTTTTTTTTTTTTTTTTTTTTTTGAGACGGAGTTTCGCTCTTGTTACCCAGGCTGGAGTGCAATGGCGCGATCTCGGCTCACCGCAACCTCCGCCTCCTGGGTTCAGGCAATTCTCCTGCCTCAGACTCCTGAGTAGCTGGGATTACAGGCATGTGCCACCATGCCCAGCTAATTTTTTGTATTTTTAGTAGAGACGGGGTTTCACCATATTGACCAGGATGGTCTCGATCTCTTGACCTCGTGATCCACCCGCCTCGGCCTCCCAAAGTGCTGGGATTACAGGCTTGAGCCACCGCGCCCGGCCAAACATTTTCTAATTCCGGGAGGCCATCCAGAGATGTATGTGTGGGTCACGAGGGTCACCATGGCTTGATTTAGGGTATTGTCTGTGGTGTGGCCAGTTCAAAGAACCTTGCAGTCCCGAGACCCATTGCTTGGTAACCTAGTAGAAGTAGTAAAGAAAAGGCACAATAGAGAAGACACAAAATCAAGCTTTGCAACCAGCCTACATGTAATAATTTTCCTACAAGGACTGAATTCCAGCGTCTTAACCAGCAGCTTTTGTGTCCTCAGGGCAGTACTTAGGGCCATTGTTAGAGTCTGGGCAAGGGGTTTGGAAGTATGTTCCCAACACCAGTAGGCATGACAGGAGAAAACTGTTGCAGACTTAAGCAGGGGACTAGGACTGTATGCAGCTAGAGGTAAGGGACACCTGCTGAATACTGCTGTCCTCGGTAACACACACCAAGACACACCCCTAATCAAAACCATTCTTGAAACATCTCACCCCTAGCTTTGACTTGGAACTCCACCCCAAATTCTACCAACACCAACTTCTCCTGGCAGCTCAGAAACAGTAATTCCACAGAAGGCTCCCCCGAGTTGTGTTCAAACCTTGGCTTTCCAGACAAGTGTATGCTATTTTGAGGTGGTTTGCCAAAGGGTAAGAGGTAGAATCAATTAGACCTGGGCCTTAAGATCCTGGTTAAAATGTAAATACTATTCTATACATGGCCTTGCTTACAGTGCATTTTCCCTTATCAGCTCACAACCTGTTTCTTAATTCCTGTCTTAGTAGGGAAACAGAAGTACAGAGATGATGAGAATTTCGGCCAGGATCACTCAGCTAGTAGATAATAGAAGCAAGATCATGAAAATTAGGTCTCCTTCTTAGGAGTTCCTATTGTGGTGTCCAGTAAGCTTGCCTGTGAATCACTGCAGTCGCCGTTTCTTAGAAACGATGATTCATTTCCACCAAAGTCCAAAAGCAAGAGAAAGGGAATACAGAATCTACAAAAGCAGAAAGGGTAATGCACAAGCAAAGCCAGCCCACAGGATTCCATGGGGTGCAACCCTCTCATTGTTTAATAGATATTCCCCTACTGCTCAGATTTAAAGCCTGCTTGCTCTTTTCTTTATACTCTGGAGCTTTACTTTCTAAGACATGATTTTTTGTTTTGTAAAGAGTGGCTATATATCCCATAGGATAAGGCAAACAGACACACTGTCTTGCCTGATGGATAGGAAGGTAATCTCTCATCTCCAGTGAGTGGTTTTCTCATATTTTCTCCTGGGAAAGAAAATGTGAGAAAGGTGATTGAATGGTTTGTATAACAGAATGCAGGATAATTTGTATAATAGAATGCACACAGTTCATTTTGGTCAGCATGGTTCCCCTGCCAAAAGCCCCGAAGCAGCCTTGCTCTCCGGGAATCATTGCTTACCTTTAACTTAATTTGTTCGTTAATCTTCTTTCATTGCTAAGTACCCAGGCAAGAACAAATATTTTAAAGATGGAACAAATATTCCATTGTCTATCTGGAATTAGGAACCACTGCCTCACAGCTGTAAACTCTTGTCCTTTTAACCTCCTGCTGGGATTGTAACAATATAAGTTAGTTTTCGTGGGAGGGGACTAAAGCCACTTAGAGATTTTATTTGGCCCAAGACCAAAAACCCCCAAAAAACTAACAACAAGAAAAAACCACACCTGCTTCAGAGTGTAGCTAAATTGAAGATACTGTTTCCAATGATGGATAACAACAAGTAACACAGAAGCCGGGAAGGGGAGAGAAGAGGGGGTGGAAAACAATAAGGAGGGAAAAAAAGGATATATGTGTTTACTACCATTGAACCGTACACTTAAAGTGGTAAAGATGGTGAATTAAACAAACAAAAATAGCAGCTACCCATTATTGATGTCTTAAGTGACTGGGGAAAATAAATTATTAATGTTTAAAACTATCTTTTCTTCCTACCCTGGCTCCAGCATCCTGTGGAGGGTGAATCCTGGGGAAGATGCTTAGATTTGTTGGGCAGATTGATGAGTGAGTGCAGTTTGGAGAAACAAGTAGGCCAACACTCTCCTATATGTGTTTAGAGAGAGATGGGGGTCTATGGTGGACTTCTGGTATAGGAAAGATCAGCTTGAGCGTGGCCTAAGGGAAGGAAAAGCAGAGAGGTAACTGGAGGACAGACAGTCCACTCCTGAAAGAGGGAGAGGCGGTAAAGGAGGTGGTGGTAGCTGCCATAAGGAGTGGAAATTTGCTATCTTTATTTTATTTTTTACACAGAGTCTCACTCTATCAGCCAGGCTGGAGTGCAGTGGCACAATCTTGGCTCACTGCAACCTCCGCCTCCCCGGGTTCAAGCAATTCTCATGCCTCAACCTCCTGAGAAGCTGGGATTACAGGCATGCACCACCACACCCAGCTAATTTTTCATATTTTTAGTAGACATGGGGTTTTGCCATGTTATTCAGGCTGGTCTCGAACTCCTGGCCTCATGTGATCCACCCACCTTGGCCTCCCAAAGTGCTGGGATGACAGGCATGAGCCACTGCACCCTGCCAGGAAATTTGAGACCTTTTAAAGGGATATTTAGGGAACTTCATTGTGTAATGCAAACTCTCTTACATTATTTCCCTGGAAGATAACAACTTCAGCCAAAGCTGAATTCCTTTTCTCAATGCTTTTGGAGTCATATTTGTTTTTATTAAAAGTGAAAACATTTTGAGATTGGCCTTAGGTGGAAAGCATGGTCACCTACAAAAATAGTCATTTAATTCACTTGTTCACAAACATTTATTGAGTGCCTGCTGTGTGCCAGGCACTGTTGTAAGCACTGACTTTTGTATTTTACCTACTGTACATCAGTTACTTTATATGTATATTCTCACAAAAACCAATGAGTAGATATTAGTTCTTTTTTCCATTAGCTCAGTGGTTCCCAAAATTCACTGTGCATGAGAATGTGCACAATTTTAGATCCACTTCCAGAGACAATGATTTAGTAGGTTTGGGGTGAATCACAGCAATTCCTTATTCCCCCCCCCTTTTTTTTTTTGAGACGTAATCTCACTCTTGTCACTCAGGCTGGAGTGCAGTGGTGTGATCTCGGCTCACTGCAACCTCTGCCTCCCAGGTTCAAGCAATTCTCCTGCCTCAGCATACTGAGTACCTGGGATTACAGGCACGCACCACCACACCCTGGCTAATTTTTATACTTTTAGTAGAGACGGGGTTTCTCCATGTTGGCCAGGCTGGTCTCAAACTCCTGACCTCAGGTGATCCACCTGCCTTTGGCCTCCCAAAGTGCTGGGATGACAGGTATGAGCCAATGTGCCTAGCCACTAAGTCCTTATTTCAAATGTGCTCCCTATTTGATTTTGAAAGTTGCTCTAAGTACTCTAGGAAATACTGCTCTAACTTGTCAAAAATGAATTTTCTTAAGTCTGGGTTTTTGCAGTATGGTATGTACAAGGGAGAAGTGGTGGGGAGGGAAGCTGTATTTCTTAGAGGACAGA